GATTTGGCTGTCTCAAAAAAAGGTACACAACATGGCACCTTCAGATATGGAAAGAAGACCAAACTCTGCGTAACCCCATCGATAAAACTTTGAGCCACACCCATTTCTCGATTCCTCGAGTTCTTGGGCGAGAGGCCGCGTGAGAAGCTCCTTCAACAAAAAAGGGGGCTCAAAAGAAGCACTAGGTGTCAACCAAAAGAGGGGTCAAAAGAGGGGTTACAAGAGGTGTTGGTTTCTTGCACCTCCAAAACTGAAAGCAGGATTCCTAGTTCTGTCGGCAGCCATACGGCCAAGACGCCGCGGGATGCGAATGGTCGTTGTAAACAAGAGGGGAGGGAAAGATGCTTTTTGAGTGCCGAACAATGCCAACGACGTTGCTAAACTGCAAGCCACTCACAACTCCAACAATTCCGTGCGTCTTGCAAACTGGGGGCCCTAGAACGTGAATTGGAGAACGAGAAGGAACCACAAATAAGAAAACGGCAATCTGCTGACACTTCCTTAAACATATGGACATGCCCGATGGATAGGAAGAAAAACACAATCCCTGGTCACCGGTCCTTCAACGCGAGGGCGCGCTTGAGCCGTGAGCCGTGCAGGCAGGTCACAACTGAAGAAATTCTTCTGCTTCATTCAGCAAAGATAGTGCCACCTGCCACTGCTTGCACTTGGCACAGGCGCTGATGGCGGCGTTGTAAAAGATTTCATCACCTTTGAGGTCAAAGTTCTTGAGCTCCTCACAGAACTTACTCGGGCTTTCTTCAAAAGGTTTTTGTGTCTTTATGTTTATGATTGAGGGGGGAACTTGCGGATAGTTTCAAGGAAAACCAAAAGGGCAACCGAAGCCATTTTGGGGGTTCCCTCATTTTGTGACACTTTCCCACATCTGAACTGACCCAGCCTGGCAAGAACATCACTAGAGCACGAGCAAACATCCAGTGGCATATTCAATAGGAATGACTCCGCGCCCGTGTCCTGCAACAGCCTCAGAGCGGCAGTCCATTCGCCTGCGAAACAGAGTCGTGGCGAAGAGTTGTGCCGCTGGCCACAAAAGCCAACGCTTTTGAAGAAACAAATCCATGGTGCGGGTTTCCGACAACTTGAAATTTCCGCTCGTCCCCCGATGCCCGCTTGCTGGCAAGCTCAAAAGGGCGAGCGCAGCTATGCAGATTCATTGATCTTTCGGTGCGTGCCCGCCTATCAACACGCTTGAAAAAGAACCAGCTCGTGAATCTCGACTTGCTCCTTTCATGTTTTCAGTGGCCTTGCTGGATGTGCTCCGAAACTGGAGTCGACAGCCAGGGTACTGCTTACTGCTTTGGCTTTCAGCGACTGCATTCAGTCGAGGGCTTTGCAGGGGCGTCAAGGCTTCTGGAATCTTCAATTACACTCCGGGATATTGCCAACCATCAAGGATCCCTCTCCGGCTGAAAGCTTCGCGGGATTCAACAAAAGGACAACCAAAAAAGGATGCGGATCAACACACACACGTCAACCAACTTCATGGACCATGGACAACATTCTGTACATGAAAACGAACGAGGACCATGGACACTCTTCCTAAACAACAGTGTATATCATTAAATATGTCTTTTTGCTCACCTCCATAGAACAAAAACAACTCTTCTCAAAGGCCATCCTCTTGTCCAACCAACAAACCACGGACGGCGATCGGACGGACCCCACGTCCGACGAAACTTCGCCAAGGCGCCGGCCTTCTCACAGGCGCTCAGCGCCGCGCTGAAGCAAATCACATCCGGCGCCTGAGACTTGCGATAGGGCAAGATAGGTAGGGAATGAATGGGGAATGAACTGGAAGGGGGATTGCCGAAAGGACAAAAAAAACCACTCCAAGAAGCCTCCATAGCTTTTGAGCATACAAGCTTTTCAAGATTCCAGACACATAGGGCGTCAGGGGTACGCTCAAAAGGTACGTTGGAGGCTTTGGACGCGGATTCCAAGAAGTCTCCCTTCATGCGATAGGTAGGGAATGTGAATCGGAATGAACCCAGGCTTTGCTCCCCCTAGAGGAAACCACCAGTTGGATGGTTTATAGCCGTCATTCCATTTCTCATTCCCTGAGCACAAGCAAGCTCAAAAATATACCTTTTGAGCATACCCCAAGCTTCCCATTCCTCTTTGGGTGTCAATGCTCGAAAGGTATGTTGGAGGGTTCTTGGATCGATCTCTTTCCGAAGTGGCTTCGGGCCTGAGCCGAAAACCCTCCGCGGCTCCGGCCAAGTTTCGGATCGGAGCCGACTTTTGAAAGCGTCTAACTTACTAACGCGGACTCAAGCTTTTCCGTAGCAACGAAAGAGGGGGCCCTCTATGAAGACGCATGGAGACAATTGAGCACTGTGGACAGCCCCAGAAACGAACAGCATTGAATCACTTGATCTCTCGAAACAAAATGAGACTATCGGGCGACTTTCCTGTGGAGCGGAAGGAAAGCAGAGGCGGTCCTCCCAGTGTGCTCCCGCTTTGGTCTTCCATCCTCCTGCTGGTATCCCTAACAGCCCCCAATGCCCTGGAAAGTTGCAGAACCGTTCCCTGAAGGCTGGCCAAGGAACGGAGCCCAGGCAGAACTTGCCATCTTTCGTAACTCCAATGAATTCAAGCACCAATTCCAATAGCATCCAACTGCCTCACTGTCCAAACGCCCCGCAAACCTACACAAGCAGTATATATTGTACACAAATGTATATGAGAGTGTGCCTTGTTTATGAGGCTACTCCCATGTTTCGTGGGTGTAAAAGGACAACCAAAGGGACACCACCATTTTGGGGCGCTCTGCCCAAAAAAAAGAGTACTCCCACTTTGTTGTGCTTGTAAAGGAAAAGCAACCCAACAACATCCACCGTTTTGGGGGGCTCCGCAACAAAAAAAAAGACGACCGACCCGTTGAGGAGATCGGCCGCCCGCCTGTCGGTGTAGCAGGTGCAAGGCGTGCAGCCAGCCCTCGCATGCGCTGACCGCCGCGCCCAAAGTCACCTGGTCCGGCCGCAGCCGCGCCGCCGGCAGCTCCTGACGGATTTGTTTGGGGCCCAAGAGGAAGCTTCACCTCTTTCTCCGGGTCTGTCTCTCTTTTTGGAGGAAACAGGGTGGTAAAAAACCTGGTACTTTTGGTGCTTTTCTTGCTGTTTGCTGTCTTTGGGCCATGATGTGTCGAGTGGCAGTTGTGAGCGGGGGAGGGGTGGGTGGGTAAGGGAGGGGGGGAGGATGTTACCGTCGTTACGAAAGGCTTGCACGCACACGAACACACGTGCCAGTGCACACAGGTTGATGCATGGCCAATGTTTGTTGCAGATGCTGGCAAAAAGCATCTGGAGAGCCACCAATGTCCATCCCAGCAATGCTAGAAGAGTCTCTGTGACAAGAGCACACAAACGACCCGCTTGCTGGCAAGCATTGCAAGTCTATATAACAACCCAGCTTCACTCTAATGTGTTTCGCTACACGCACAGCTTGTTTGGAGGCATCGGCTTCCGATTGAGAAGGACTTCAGCCGTAATTGTTGGCTGCAGTTTGCTGGTTCAGATTTTCGAGCAATTGAACTGCAACTATGCAAACACCGTTTTTTTTTTTGCTGTCATAATTCTCCCGTTCACTGCCAAGCATGAGCCAGAGATGACAAATTGCAGAAACACCAGGAGAAAACACGTGTGACGCAGCTTTCGGCTCCAGGCTTTTTAACAGCCTGACCTTTCTGGATGGCTTTAAAGGGAAACCAAGGGGAGGCCACTTGGATGAATTGGTCCCAAAGGTTGAGAAACCTTCAGATTGGCGGAGATGGGGCGGAGAATTTGTGGGGCGTCCCACTTTGGTTTCAAGAGGAATTGGGGTACTTTCCAAAACCAATCCGATTTGGTCTAAAACATGGAATCCTCAAATAAAAAGGCAGACACCAACACCTACAAAACCTCCTGCTACGTTCCAAACCCAACTCAGGGTTGGGTGAGAGCTGTGTTCTCTGGGTTTCAAGGCCGGTTTCCATTGGATAGCTATCCGGCAGTGCATCCAATCCACACTTTGCGACATGAATCGTAATGACCCCAACACCACCCCCAATAGATTTCCACTGTGAAGGCGTCGCTTTGAACTTGCGGCTCTGTCACTGGTAATCCAAAATCGCATCTTGAAGAGCGGAGTCCCTGAAGCACCCCTTCGGCCTCCCAACTGTGAACCTTCCGGGCCCATTGGAGTTTGCGCTTCCGCGACTGCCGGAGAAAGCTGCTGACTGGAGCCTAGTTCTCCCGCGACTTCCGCTCCCGCAAACAAACGCAAGGCAATCGATCTGTTTTCCACAGAGCCTGGCCGCTGCCGTGAATTCGTCCGCACTTGGAAACTCGGCTGAACCAAAGACTGACTCTCAACTGTGTCTTTTGTGAGGGTACCCCTTGTATGGTGGTAAAGGGAAACCAAAAGTAAAAACCGAAAAATACTTTTTCGGGACCCGGTCCACCCCCCAAAAAAAAACACACCCGCGTCGACGTTTGACGCCGTTTTCTTCGCGCCTCGAAGAAGCAAAGCGCCAAAGGCCAATGCGTTGCTCGCCCAGAGGCTGTGATGAGTCGGTTGAAGGTGACCAGCCGCAGCTGCTCCCCCATGCAACCTGCCGAGGCAAAAAACATCGTCCCTGGGCCTTCCCTAACCGCAAAGTGTGCTTCCCACCCGTGTAAACATGGCGTTTAGATTTATCCCACTGGAACAGTCACAGGCGTTCAGGGCTCAGAATGGTGGATATTGTCGCCGCTCATATCTTCGATGCGGACTCCTTTGCCGCGCCTGCCCCATGACAGCCATTGCGACACACCAGGCCCCTGCTTTGAGCCTAAACTCTAGCAAAATCGCCTCAATCCCTTCGAAGCTGCAAGTCCGATTTTCGCGGCATGGGGTTTGCCTCTTTCGCTGCCAAAAACAAGCCTCGCCAAAGCGTAAAAACGGCAAGTGCCGGGCATGAAATGGCATGAAGCAAGCGATTGCAAAGCGCGGCCCGCGGCCTCCGCTCGAGCTGTGAAGATGCTCGAGTCAAATGTGCCTCAGGACGCATTGGTGCCATGCATTTACCTCACGAGTCTCATACAGGCCCCATTGGACAGAAGTCGCCCGTGCGGCACAGGTGACTACGGAAGCCACCAATTCCAGTTTCTGAAATTAACCCCCCAGAAACAGTCAACATGACCCAGTTGTAAAACATCAACCAAAAAACACGTTTTTTCACAAAGATTCCCGATTCTGTTTTAGTGCTCTGCGCCAAGTCCACGCGCTCTCGAATCGGCTCGAATGGGGCGGGCGGCTACTGAGGGGCTGCAAGAAGTGGAGCTCTTTGGCGCCGCAGGCCGTCTTCAGGTCCTGCGGAGATCTCGTGCAGTGGGTTCTATTAAACAAAAACACATGGTGTCTTTTTGGTAAACACATTGGGTGGTTAAACCAAAAACAACTTCTTTTTTTGTAAAACAAATGCTGGTGCGATAGGCACAACCTAACGAATGGGTCCGTTTGGGGTTGTCAACAAAATATGGGATCCATCGCTTGTGGTTTTTGCTTTTTTTTTTTTTTTTCTCCGGGACGCCGAAGCTTGCTGGTGGCATAGGTAGGGAATGACCTTGTTTCTGGGTGTCGGGAATGAACCGTTTGGAGACTCCCGAATAAAGGAACCATAGGTTGGTGGTTTATGTCGGGGTCATTCCATTTCTCATTCCCTGCCTCTCGAACCAGCAAGAAAAGGAGAAGCTACCCTTCACTCCACTAAGCTATAACGACGCCATGGAACTGTTCGAGGTGGTTGGGAGGATTTTCCTTTCAAATTGTATCCTCTCATAGGTTCCATGTGAGTGGATAGGAGGCTTCACCCGCGCCAAAAGGGGCGTCCGAGCCTGTGGCCACTTATGCTGCCTGCGCCTTTTTCACTCGCCAGGCTCGAGGCGCTCGCTCGCCGCCTTCAACATCTGGATCCTCGCCTTCCTTGGACCAAGCGTCTTGCCACATGGCCATGGGTCAAAATCCAAATCGCTTAGCCCCCAGCATCCTACCACTAAAATAGGTTCAAAAATGGGTGGTGAATTCACCTACCAACCAAAATGGGAGCCCGTTGGTTTTGACCCACAGCCACATGAGCAAACAGGTTTTTATGACTTCTATGCTGATTCATAGAACCATCATCACGGCGCGATGATCAGTATTCTGCTTGTCATGTATCGGTCCGTCGTTTTAGTGGTAGCCCTCTTTGTGGCTGTTGAAGGGAAACCAAGAGGAAACACACTATTTTTTGGTGTCCCCCATTTTAAGACAGACTCATATCTGCTTTGTTCGCCAAACAAACCATCTGAAACAGATCTGAAGTAAGCAACGCAACAAACGAGACAACCTGTGAGCCCTCAATTTTGATGCAATTTGTCAGTGGGCTTGCTCGCACGCTGGCAGTCTCCAAGATGGGCCCATTGGCACGTGAAATGGCGAAGCCTCTGCGGGAGTTCGCCAGAACACGACTCTCAAATACTGGTGTCGCTTTTCGTGTTGATTTCACTTTGCTCGTGCGACCCTCCGCGAACTTGTTTGCTTCTCTTCTGGTTTTCGCGACTCAAAACAGTCTTTGACTCTTGGGTTCTGCTTTAGTTTTTTTACCGGGGGCTGTTTCTTGTTTTGTTGCCTTGTGTCCACTCACGAGCAATCTATGCACATTGATTTCCCTTCTCAAGCCTGTGGTAGCACCACGTGCTGATGCGATAGGACATAACAGCTCGACTTGCGCATTCTGAAACCCAGAAGCCTTGCTTAATGTTGACCCCGTATTAGCATGAGCTTCCTTTTGAGATGGAATTGAGTTTCCACTTGATTTAGTATTGCTGGAGCTTCCTGATTTGAGATCTGGAATTGAGTTACCATTTGATTTAGTATTGCTGGAGCTTCCTTTTGAGATCTGGAATTCAGTTTCCATTTGATTTAGTATTGCTGGAGCTTCCTGTTGAGATCTGGAATTGAGTTTCCATTTGATTTAGTATTGCTGGGGCTTCCTTTTGAGATCTGGAATTGAGTTTCCATTTGATTCAGTATTGCTGGAGCTTCCTTTTGAGATCTGGAATTGAGTTTTAATTTGATTTAGTATTGCTGGAGCTTCTGTTTGAGATCTGGAATTGAGTTACCATTTGATTTAGTATTGCTGGGGCTTCCTTTTGAGATCTGGAATTGAGTTTCCATTTGATTTAGTATTGCTGGAGCTTCCTTTTGAGATCTGGAATTGAGTTTCCATTTGATTTAGTATTGCTGGGGCTTCCTTTTGAGATCTGGAATTGAGTTTCCATTTGATTTAGTATTGCTGGAGCTTCATTTTGAGATCTGGAATTGAGTTTCTATTGAGAAGGCCTGGTTGGCTTTTTTTGGGGGGTGGGGCCGATGGACCGCACTAATTAGGGGGAGGGGGGGGTTATTAATTGGGGGTGTAAGGGGCCAATGTGGGGTACCCTTTGAAACCTTCTAAACTGTTTGTTTTTTAGTAAAGGATTTAATAAGAAATCAACCATCTCAGAACACTTTTTGTTTTGTGGTTTGGGCAGGCCCAAAAGCATCCACCAAGCTTCAAGATGAGAGTAGGAGGTGGAGATGAGAGCCCGAAGCAAGGCAGCAGCATGAAGAGAAAGGTATCAAAAGAAAGCATGAGCCCATTTGAGCCGAAGCACCTTTTCAGGACACCATTCAAAAAAAGCCTGGCAAGCAGCATGAGTCCACAATATTCAGCATCAGCAGCATCAGCTAGCACCAAAAAACAGTTTACATTGCAATGAGCTCAGGCAGCATTGGAGAAAATGAGATAGCAGCAGCCATCTGGGGGAGGGACCGGTTTAATTGGGGGGGGGGGATTTTTGGGTCATTTTTTATTTGGGGGGTAGTTTCTAAGTTATGAATTGCTTAGTATTGGGGGGCGTCACCCGGACCGGACTAATAGGGGGGGATTATTAATACGGGGTCAACATTACCAGCGAGAGCTCTCTCCAGGTTTTTTCTTGGATCTCGATTGCAGCCAAGCTTTCGTCTCAGCGATGTCGGACATCGTCTTGCTCACCACGCTGACATCCGGCTCCTTTGTGGAGCCTGGCAGCGACTCCGGCGGCAACGGCTTTGATCAATGCACGGCTCAAGTTGTGCGCGCCTGGAGATGACTCTGGTGCGTCGAAGTCCGGAGGATCTGCGACAAGGGCTGGTGAAGTCAAGGGATTTCGGCTTGAACAGTTCGCACAAAGGGCATGCCAACACCCTGGACCTTCAAAGGGCCCCCCTTTTCCTGCATTTGACCCACACAAAGATGTATAGAGGCAGAATTGAGGTTGTCTCTTGGAGATCCAACAGCTTTCTCTAAATCCTACATGGTGACACGGGAGCGCACGACATACATGCGACTCGACTCGCCGCGATGCCGGCTCCAAGGCGCAGGCCTTTCATAAAGCTCAAGCACTCTCGCTCCTGGCGACTGCAAGACATGCGTTTCGCGCCTCAAATTCGCGTTGTCGAACCGCTTCTTTGGTGGTTTTAAAGGACGCTAAAAGGATCACCGCCAGACATATATGTATATCTACATATTCTAATGCATATATATATATATACATATATATATATATATATGTACATACATATATTTGTATGTGTACATATTACATATGTATATATGTATATATATATATATATTTCTTATGAGAACCTTTTTTTATTATGCATTCTTTTTTTTTGGGGGGGGGTAAGACACACCCAAAAGATCTTTCTGGAGACCAGGTCACATTCTGAGGCCTGGAGCCGCGGCACGGCGAGGCTGGGCCCGACGCCCCCGGGGGACTCCGCCCGACCTCGGGGTCTCGGGGTCCGAATCCGGGAAGCTGACGATCGGAGAGGCTTGGGAAGACTATTGGGGAACTCATTGTTGCGCCCTGTCCACTTTTCCATGACTGTTGGAAAAAGGGTAAAATTTGTATCGTATTGTATCGTTTAACATCAACATCGAAGAATGGCAATAGCTAATCGCGGATGCGAGGCACCTAACCTGAGGCAGTAGCTGACGTTGGTCACGGCATCTTTGTCCTGACTCGATGGCGAGTAGGCCGGGAGGACTGACAGCAAGTTCCTTACCGCGCCAAGAATGATGAAAAACGTCCCAGGCGCAGTCAAAAAGCGAGTGTTCAGCTCTAAGCAGATGGCAGAAAAGCTGTCGTCGACCCGGGCAATCCTCAGATACAGTACGAAGCAAAGCACACTGTTGATGTCACCATATGCTCGCGGCAAAGGGCCGTCTCAGTTCACTTCTCTGGGCACTTGATGGCCCAGTGCAGTTGAGCGGCTGTCAAAGCTATCCAGCTTGGGGCTGCTTTGGCCACCAACTGCCTGCAGCGCAGATCTCAAACCGTTTGACCCCCTGCTCAAGTTTGCCGCTGGGCGGGGCACCGATCCGTATCTCACACCGAGAGACACAACTCAACTAGTCAGCCGTGCCTTATCGCAGGTCACTGTCTCGGAAGGCCTTGCAACCCCGAAGACTTCGTCGAATCGATTCACCAAGATGTTGCTTTCGCGTCTTCTGCTACACCTAACACCTAAGGCTGCTGTTATACTGTATCCAGGCTCCGGTTCTCAACACTTCAACAAAGCTGCTACGGGTCCTCCTTGGGGTTTGTCATGACTTGGGACAGGGACTGATCCATCAGGTTGCAAACATTGTTGCATTATCCAAAGGATGTGACTCTGAAATACAACGTCTACCTGACGTGGTTCATGACAAGCGGATTTGATGTTGAAGCACGGCGCGGGCCACACCCTCAGCTCCTGCCTCGTGTTTTCGAGTCCTGGGACAGCAAACCAACCAAACACCATTGAACACGGGGCTCAAGCGTCTACCACAAGGCTCTCTCCCACGGTCCTTCTCGCCAAATATCTTCCAAATGCTGCGTGTGGCTTTGCCATGAACGCAGCCCTTCTTCCAAACACCTGGCCAAGCGGGAGCACCCATCTACAAGCATGCCTGCAGAAGCTCTTGCCTAGCCCGCCGGGGAAACACATGCGCCATAGTCAAAGCTCTGGTCCTTGTCTAGCCGTCCAAAACTGCACTAGAGGCTTGTTTGCCATGTCTCTATCGCCTGAGGATGCGTCTCTTTCATCCGGGCTCTTTTCCAGGCATCATTGATTCCTATTAAAGCCATCCAAAGAGAGGTCCAGCCATGAGAAATACATTGCACCCGAGGGTCGCTTGGAAGATTGATTTCTTGTGATCCCTGTCAGGTGCCATGTTGGGAGTAGGATAGGCCTTGGGAACACCATTTTTTTTGGGTACCCATGGCTTTGATTACAGGGATCGCCGCCATGGCTGCCTTTGCATGTCCCGCATCTCTTCGACGCGGCCCAGCAGCTCGCTTTCCCTGCCCTGGAGCCTTGCGAGCGCTTGCTAGGTGATGGCTCTGGACACGCTGAGTCAAGGGAGCCCAAAGCTATCGGATATGTTAGACTCAGTTTGTGGGGATGGGCCTTTGTGTTTTGGGGGGATCTTCTTTGGTAGGGGGATTCAAGACACCTGTAAATCATAAAAGAGCTGCCGCACAGAATTCATGGTTATGTCTGAAAGCGGCCCCTCTACTAACCTTCATCTGCTCATGGTTTGATTGTGGCTCACCCACAGCCAGCAACCCCCATGGCATACCATGGGGCTTTGAACTTTCAACAATCGCTTGCATCAGCTAGACTCCCGTGATGGAACTGGGCCAGACTTCGACACCCTGCACAGAATGAGCTTTTTGCTGGTTTAAAATGAACAATGAAGGAATTCCACAAGGTAAACAAATCACAAGCTCAGTCTGGCAATGGGCAGTAAAGGCCGGGCATCTTAAACAGCACGGCAGCCTTCCACGGGACATCCGGCCATCCTCCAGCCATACCACAGCATCCCAAATGGTCAATACACGGAGACAACACAGAACACAAGCGCGGAACCCTTGGCAAAAGAAAACACCTCCACCCCATGTAGGGGTTTGATCAATATTTCCGGTTTCCTAATGACCAAAGGTAACTTGGCCCATGTGGGAAATATTTTAGTGTTTACCGGGCCTCTTGATCAACCCCCATGTCATCCCAGATCCATGTACCTGTGTGGGGAACCCATTTACCTTTCAAAACCAAAGCTACACTGCTGCTTACCCACTCTAGAGGTACCCTCCCAGCAAGTAGCATGGAATTTGACTTTCGGGACCCGGTCCCTTTAAAAGGAAGATGGTCTTCCATCCACCAGGCCCCCCCAAACGTCGAACGATTCCATGTGGCGGTTGATCAAAAGGTCCTTTATATGGGATGACCATTGGTTGGAACAACATTCGATATTTTACACAGAAAATTAGGATTCAAAGCAACCTCCATTGGCTCGCTTCGTTCGCTTTCCAGATTGCCTGCAATTTGTTTTCTGTGTCAGGTCTTACGGGCACCGGTTGTGCTAAGTTGACATCCCACCAGCAAACCGTCAAATTCTCAACTGCAAGGCGCGCCTTTGAAGCTGGTCAGCATGAAGCTGATTCTGCTGCAGGTCCACATTCATGCGCCTGACATTTAAACAACAACGACAACAAGCACATGCACCCAAATTGTCTCATGCGCAGACCCCTGCCCTCCCAGAGAACCCCCCAAGCCGCTCGCATGATATGCAAATGAGCGTCGTCTTACACTTGTCTCACGATGCCAAATCCCCCTGGTTACCCGGATTGCACTGCTTCCTCTTCCATCAAAAAGCAACAAAGTGGAAATGTTCACACCACTTCACGCAATGCTTTGGACACAAACATTGGATCTAGGCGGCGCCTCACTTCTGCTTCCAGATCTTCCAAACGCCTGTGCACAGTCCCAAGTCCCCCACTGGGGGGTTTGCCAGTGCTAGCCGTTAGCCGGTCGGCACCAAATATACACAAATTGTCAGAGTCATAGTTCGAGAAGGAAGCATGACGACATAGGTGTCCAAACATCACATGACCGCAAACCTACTATTAAGGGTAAATCACAATTTCTGCCAAATGCGAGTGGCCGCAAGTGGTCAGTTGCTTCAAACATGACACAGGTACCAACCACATCCACACAAACACCCAGGCACACGCAAAGACACCAAACAATACACGCACACACACGCTCTGTCTCTCTCTCTCTCTCTCTCTCTCTCTCTCTCTCTCTCTCTCTCTGTCACACACACACACTCACACCCGCACCCAAAAGCAAGCAAGAAAACAAGAAGACCCGCAAACAGGCAACCGCACCAAAGAAGGGGACACGCGCAAACATGCAAACAGGCACCGCAGCAAGCAAGCCAGCCAGCCAGCCAGCGAGCAACCAAGCAAAGAGGAAAGAAATTAGACAGAATATTCTATCCCATTTGGAATGTTGAAGAGGTGAGAAAGAGAAACCAGTCGCTTCCGTGATTTGTGAAACAAGCAACCAAGCTGGCAAGGAAACATACATTCCAGCAAAGAAGCAACCACGCAACCACGCAAACAAACAATCAACCAACCAACCAAACAAACAAACAAACTCAAACAAAAAACAAGCAAAGAAAACAAGCAAGCAAGCAAGCAAGCAAGCAAGCAAGCAAGCAAGCAAGCAAGCAAGCAAGCAAGCAAGCAAGCAAGCAAGCAAGCAAGCAAGCAAGCAAGCAAGCAAGCAAGCAAGCAAGCAAGCAAGCAAGCAAGCAAGCAAGCAAGCAAGCAAGCAAGCAAGCAAGCAAGCAAGCAAGCAAGCAAGCAAGCAAGCAAGCAAAGCAAGCAAGCAAGCAAGCAAGCAAGCAAGCAAGCAAGCAAGCAAGCAAGCAAGCAAGCAAGCAAGCAAGCAAGCAAGCAAGCAAGCAAGCAAGCAAGCAAGCAAGCAAGCACACAAGCAAGAACACAAGCAAGAACACAAGCAGACAGGACAGAACAGAGCGGAGCGGAACAGAAGCAAACCAAGCAAGCCACAACAAAACAAAACAACACACACGCACAACAAACAACATCGGAGGCAAAACAAAGAAGAACAAGCCAAGCATGCAAAGACGGTTGCGCACACCCAAACACACACACAGACGTACACAAAGGACACGCAAACACACATACACGCACGCGCTCGAAACACGCGAAACGCGCACAACAGTCCGCAAACACACAACAGTACACACCCACACACACACACTACAGCACACACACACACACAAGCACACAACAGTACACACACACACACGCACACAACGGTACACACACGCACACAACAGTACACACACACACTCACACACACACACAAATAACAGACAAACAAACGACAGCCTCAGGAACATTCGGGATTGCCATACCTAGCATTCGCATTTGCGTGCCACCAAGCCCCAGGACAACTCATAAAAACTTGCCAGAAAAGACTATCTATACGTGATGAGCATCATCAATATAGCAACATGTAATTGACAAAACCAATCAACATTATCCTACTCCATGCACAGAGAGGGAAGTTGGGCAAAATCTGCTTTTCAACCACCTGACCATAGCCCCATTTCAACGGAAAGCCAGAAAGATCCTTCAAGAACGCGTGCATGCGTTACTGTGAAGACCATGTCGTGTTTGTCCACTAATATCAAAACGTGTCTGACAATGTGGGAAGCCCCCCAGATTGGCTCCTTTTTGGTTTAAGCTGTGTCTTAACATCATGTGGAAGCCCCATGGGTTGGTTTCCTCCTGGTTTCGGGTACGCCATCCCAATTTCGAGGGGGCTTCCAAACAAAGTCCCCGCGGAGCCCGCCTGTCCACCCGGCCGAGGTGCAGATGCAACTCTTCCGCCAGGCGCCTGGAGAGATGCTGAGAATGGAATGACGAGGGACCAAAGGCTTTTTTGGGGGAGGATGGAATGGCTGTGGGTCAACAACGGGGTAACCCCAAAACGGGTTGCCCTGGTAAATGGAAAAGTAGACCAAAACCTGCGGGCCATTCCCTGGTTGTTTCATTTTGACCCACACCCGAATGACCAATGGAAGTAATGGAATTTCGCATGAGCGGTCGGAGAAAAAAAAAGAGACCCGTCCTACTGGTGGTTTCCTAGGGGACCAAAGCCTGGCTTAGCTCATTCCCACATTCCCTGAGCGCCAGCAGGAAAGGCTGCGGGTTTCTCTCACAATGAACCCGACACGTAGGAATCCACTGCTTGGGCTGTTCCCAGGTTCCCAGATCAGTGGAAACTGCCACACTAGAAAGCTTTACACACCTAAGAGGATGGCTGGGAACCACTTCTTGACAAGGCCTATCCACTTTTGGTGCAAGATGGTAGATCCCCACGGCTCGGCGATCGCTTCTTCGAGTCCAGTGCTTCGCCACGGGACTCGAATTTTCCGAACAGGGGGGGCCCCTCTGGGAATTGTCAGCTCGCCAAAGTGTAGCCTCACACGGATGGAGAGCTCTTTGACCTCCTCGTTTGGCACCGGACCTGGGCCAGTTCCCCTACATCTCTGCCCAATAGATCTGCGCTCCAAGAAGGGCACCACTCGGCCAAACCATGCCATGTGAGTCATACTCAAAACAGATCGGGACTGAAGCGAATCCTTCAAGAAAAGGGCGCACCTGTTGGCTGGGACCATTCAATAATCTTCGACCCGGGGTTTCAGCAAGTGGCTCACCCGAAAAACCAACTTGTTTACAACCTTCACAGTCTTGCCTTTTTTCTGGTGTTCCCATTTTTCCCCCAACAGCTGAAAGCTTTGGGGTCTCAGCCCAGATGGGCTCCGGGGTGGTCCGGGGCGGCCCTGAGGTAAGGTCCAGGGTTCCGCGAGGGCGCATGCTGGGGATATCACCTGAGCTTATTGGGTTAAAGGAGCAGGGGGAAAACCGACATCCATTTTGGGGGCTTCCCCAAAGACCAGCCCTGAGAGCCCAAGTCGGCTCCCGGGTCCCAGGCTTTCAGCTGGCGCCAAGGGCATTTCCTCCGACTCGCTCCGATCGCATCGCTTCTCCTCGCGCAGCCGCAGACCTGGCGAAAAACGTCAGCTCAACCTCGAAAAGAAACAGACCCTCAACCAAAAAGGGGGGGTTCAGACACATGTGAGTCAGTTACCCTACGTTTTTGACACAGTTAGGTGAAAAGCAAGAGGGCGGGGGGGTCAACCAAAACAACTCGTGTGAGACACAGTTAGTCGAATAAAAAAGGGGGGACTGATCAATATTCCACGTAGGGCCCCCAAATGACCATGGGTGGTTGAAAACTTAAGCAACGCTTTTGACACAGTTGGGCGAAAAACAACAAGGGAGGGTTGAGACACATGAGTTAGTTACGTTACCCTACTCAGTGACTCAACCAATACCTAAAACAAACTCATGCAACACATTTGGCGAAAAAAAGAGAGGGAGATTTCAGACACCTCCGTACTTTCAGGAAGGAGGTCTGAGCCCAATGAACCACGCTGTTAGATGCCTTCTGGGAACTCACAAGCGGCCCAAGACATGCAAAAGCTGGACCATAAGCAAGAATGCCGCACATCGGGGGTTGATCAATATTCCATGTAAGGCCCCCAAATGACCATGGGTAACTTCTCCCACGTGATTGAACTCTAGCATCTTCTTTCAATGGCCATTTTGTGTTCAAAAAAAAACAACTTTTGATCAACCCCCCCAGTGGCTAAGTTGGCTCTTGCGTCAGTCGCCCGCCTTCTTGCTGCACACACTGAATTTGCTCTTGGAGCTTCTCCTGGCGAAGGAATTTTCGATCACGGGGCTTCGCCACCTCCAAGGCCTCGAGATTTTCTGGGGTACCTTCCATTTCCATTCTTAACCCAGGGATCCGACTCTTTTCAGGAAACCAAAAACCCAGGGGAAACAGCCGGTTCTTGAAAAGAACGATGGTTGAAAAGAATGGAAAAGGAATCAACCCTAGAAAGATGGCGAAGATCTTTCTATTGGCCCCAATCCGCAAATGACAAGCATGGGACAGCATGTTGAGTCATAGCCGCAACTGAAACTCGAGATGAAACTGGACATCAGGGAAACTCAATTTGGGCGCGCCTCTTGTTGCGAAGGTCCCCTTCACAATTTCCACATCCCCTTGTTTATGCTCGGCAGATACCCATCATGGCTCAAGGGGTGTTGCACTCCAACACCAGATCCAGAGCCTGCATGTCGCGGCATGGTTTTTTCCCTTGTGGGTACACAAGAACACGGACACTTCAGCTTGAGGATAGTGATATAGCAAAATCGTCCGAGAAATGATCTCACATCCAATCCTGAGCCCAGGTTTGCGTTATAATCATAATATTTGTTTATCCAACATAGCCAGGCAATTCCCGACCTTAAAATCGCAGAGATAAATCTGCCGATGTTCAAAGACTCTTGCACTAGACCAACACCCCCAAACCAAAAGAAATATGACACTTGAGCCTAATTTAGGGCTCCTTTACCCCTGTACTCCTTAATGACTTCTATCATTTGCCCGGCGGTATGGGTCTTTCGGGGTGGACCCACTCTCATGGAATTCCCGGCAACTCGAAACGCCAGCCTGAAAGGCACAGGCTCACATACACGCACACCCATGGGCGAAACTCCTGTGAGTCGTAAACTCGAAACCCGTATTGTGAAAACTTCCCTGAGCAGCTCCTTAATTCCCAAACTGGTGTCTCAAAATGGGATATGGATTGTGGATCACCAAACATTGATCTCTGATTTTTGTTTAGCTTCCTTCAAACCTTTTCTTCCCCACCCCTGGACAAAATAAGACTGTATGTCCAGTAGTGACAAATGCGTAAGCTGCTCGGGTGTGTCGTTCTTAGGAATCGGAACCCCCATAAATCAAGCTTGGTTTCTGTTTCCGTTTAAAAACCACACGAAAGAGGCACGTTCCGAGAAGAAAAAAAACATATTTCCTTTAGGTTTCCCTTTAAACACCACACACAAGAGGCACCCTCCGAGAAGAGAAGATAAAACGGTTTCCTTTGGTTTCCATCTCAACCCCAAAATACGAGGCACCAACCCCCCCAACCCAAAAAATGGGCGAACCACAGCCGGCATGGACTCTCTGCACTTGGACCGACCCACTCGACTCGACGTCCCGGCGCCGCGCCTCCAGGCTCTGCGCCGCCTGCAGCGACTTGGCCGCCGCAGCGCTACGGAGCCGCTCGCTCTGCTGCACCTCGGTCGTCCGCCCGGAACCACCGGAACCACCGGAACCACCGGAACCACCGGAACCACCGGAACCACCGGACGCGGCATGGACCGACCTGGTGCGGTCGAAAATTGCTCCTGAAAGTATGGGCCTATGGTCATGGTTCCGATTTAAGGGAAGCATTGGAATGGTTCAGGATTGACATGGGTTGCAGCTGTTGACCTGTTTCTTTGTGGGTACCCTTTTTGGGGCTGGGCGTGAATTCTATTAAGGGACCCGAAGTGGGGAGATGTGGGGAGTCATGTCCACGGTTATGACGTTTTGAGCCGGGCCCCAGTTGAAATTCATGGCCGTGTGAGGTCAAAACTCCGATTGTTGGGCCATGGTCTTCGGTCGCAAGTCATGCGTTCATGGATGAGTTTATTAAGGATCCCTACTAGGTGGATGACCATCCTTCCTTTGTTTTGAGGCGAGAGGAGAGAAACCAAAAGGGCCACCGACATCCTTTTTTGGGGAGGGGTCCATATCCTTTGAGACAACCCCAAATGGATTGGCTGTTCACCATAGCGCACATGAACTAGGCATCTACTTTGGGGCCCAGGCTTCTTTGGTTCCATGCCAATTGGAGTAAAGAGGTGGGGGACCCCAGGGACAGAGTACTGACATCACATATTTGGTGCCATCTTTCCTCCACAAGTGGGTGTGAAGCGGGCTTCATCTTGATGCTGGAGATAGGTCTATCCCGTGAATACAGCGCCAAGAGCCGTGACCATTTGCTATAGAACCTGGCTCTGTGGGACATGGGACTTGCACATAATAGTGTGGACGGACAAAATCAAACAGCCCCTGGAATGATTCAATTCCCCTAGAAATACGAACAAACAGCGTGGTTTCAACCATGGTTTCGACGCGGCGCGAACGGATTTCATCCACAGTCATTCTGACCCGGAGCGGAAGCCCACCGGCTTCACATCCAGAAACTCGCAGTGATATGTTCTCGTTGCCACAGCTACGGATTTGCTTGTTGGTTTCGGGGAGTCCATGGTTATCTCTGAAGCGAGGATCCATCTATGGATCGTAAAATGAACTCAACCTGTGAAGACCATGGCCTTGAAAGGGGGGGGGATACGAAGCGTCGGCGAAGCTGGCTTCAGCCGGGCACCAGCTGCAGCTGAAGTCTTTCCTCGAGGCCCTGGATCTGCTGATGCACAAAGCTCCTGACGACCTCAAGCTGAGAACTGGGAATGTCAGCAAGGTCAGATGCAGATTCCAACTGCCATGGTAACTTGCAACTGGTGGGGCGCATGAGCTCATGTTGATCAACACTTGTTCGGACTACGGCCAGCTGCACCCAGCTTGGAACAAGACTGGACAAGGATCCACGCGTTTGGTGGCGGAGGACAGAAACGGCCCTGCGACAATGTGGGCTGCAGCCTCCGCGGGAGGACCTTTGTCCGATGCCAAGCACCCGGCGCACATGTACTCGACGGCCGGCACCGCGGGTCCTGCGAATGACGGCACTGGACTTTTGTTCAGAAGGAACACGCAGCGTCAAAATGGCTGCAGGTCAAAACCAATGGGACCATTTTGGTTGGTAGGTGCACCACCCAATTTAGGCTATATTTTAGTTGGGATTGGGATGTTCACTCAGAAATACAGGCTTTTGACCCACGGCCAAGTCAATTTGAAGCACGCCCTGCCCCGCCGCCCGCCTGCGGCTTCCTTTCGCTTTGGGCTGCAAGATCCAGCCTGGCACTGCGCCCCCCTCCATCTTGGTTCACTTGGCCGAGCAAAACTCTTCCGAGTGAGCAGGAAGCTGCAGGTTTGCGCAGTCTATGGGCCAAAGGGAGGAACCTTGCCAGTCTCTGCCCCTCCTTCGGCGACACACTTCTGGAAGGTGACACACTTCTGGAAGGCGGCATACTTCTGGAAGGTGGCATACTGGAAGGTGACATACTTCCGCCATTCGCTTCTAGTGCCTCGCAGGGCAACTGCCTACACCCCGTGTTTGCGAGAAAAGTCGGGTGGGCCATGCGTTGCCTCCCTGTCGCGATTGTCAACGAGCATTTAGTGTGAAGAAGCAGCGCCATCCCAAAAATATGATCTTGGCAAACTTGTTTGCAACAAATCCAAGAGATGCATCGTGGTGGAAGGAAGTGATTCAAGCACATTCTCAAAGAACAGGGATCCATCTGTGAGGTGATTCAACCACATCCTCTGCCTCCACGCGAGTAGAAGCCTGTGGCACGCCTCGGAGCAAACAAATCGATCTGGAAAAACTTGGGCACGGGGAGCGTTGCGCAAGGCCACAAGGACATCATGTACTTTGGAGCCCCTCCGCTTCGCCACACCGGATAAGCAGGCTCCCTCCCTCCCTCCCTCCCTCCCTCCCTCCCTCCCTCCCTCCCTTCCCTCCCCGCTCCTGGCAAAGTAGGCACCTCTGGCCAAGGCCTGCAGTGCGCGAAGGGACGGCTCTTCTTGGTGCGAAGCTCAATTCGCCACAGAATGCCACTCACCCAAAAAAGCAAAACCCCAAACCCGAAAAAGGGGCACCTCCAAACCTAAAAAAAAACATGCGGAACCCCAAGCCCGCTAGATCTTCTGCAAACTTCCGTTTTGCCAGAGCTGGGCATTTCTCTGCCATCGCTCTCTCAGCGCAGCGCAGCTCAGTGCAGATCGTGGGCTCCTGCCCGAAAGCCGGCCCAGCCTGGGCCGCGGCGACGCCTGCAAGACAAGAGTGCATTCCAAACGATGTTGGGTAAGGGGCGAGTCAGGAAACAGAGTCAAGAAACGGGTTGGACGAAGTCAGGAAACGGGTGGGTCCAAGTCAGGAAACAGGTTGGGTCGTGTCAAGAAATATGTAGATGTGGTGTTGTGAGTCAGGAAACGACCCCGGAAACGACAGGAACAATGCCTTGGGGAGTTGTGGAAGGTTTGGAGTCAAGTGAATAAGGTTTCGTGAGTCAGGATTCATCGGTGAGTCAGGTGGAAACGGCAGGAACAATGCGGCGCGGCGTTGTGAAAAGTTTGGAGTGAAGTGAATAAGGTTTCGTGAGTCAGGAAATGACCGTCGCAAGTCAGGAAACGGCCCCAGAAACAACAGGAACAGCGCCAGACAACGACCGTGGTGAGTCAGGAAACGCGGAAACGACAGGAACAGGGCGGTTGTTCGGCTTCGTGGTTCTCGTTTTCGTAATCGCTCGATGTAGAAACTTCTATGAACGTTTGTTTTTCTGAAGGTGGGGGCTGTGCCCCCCCCCCTTCAACCCCCGCACTTCTTTATAGGGCCGTTATGCGACTGTGTGACTCTGTTTTACAATCATGCACATTGTTCCATTTAAACTAGTGTCTTTATTTGATTTCTACTGAGGGGGTGGTACGGGGGACCACCCCCCCCAACCCCCCGCTTTCTTGTAGACGCTGAGAAACTAAACCAAAACCCTAAGACCTAAAAGCCTAAACCTAACCTAAGAACCCTAAACCTAAACCCTGAGAACCCCAAACCTGAGCCCTAAAAACTTAAAACCTAAACCTTAAAAACCTTAAACCTAAACCCTACAAACGTAAACCTAACCCTAAATCTGAACCCTAAAGCCTAAACCTAAATTCTAAAACGCAAGCTTTTCCTTGACCTGGGGCAAGACAACATCAAGGCACAATGCACAAAGCAAACGGCAAAGGACAAAGCATGCAGTGGCTTCTGCATCCCCCTTTGCATTGCGGCCAGCATCACACATGTCTCTTCATGCCTCCCCTCTCCCCTGATTCAAACAGATTCGCCAGGTTGTTCCTTGATCCGAGCCATGACGATATCAAGGAACGATGCACGAAGCACACGTCAGAGCGCAAAGCACGCAGTGCCAGACTTGCATCCCCAGCATCACCGCCAATTCAAAAGCACTGACCACATCATTTCTGAGTCGCGTTTCCTGTCTCACGTTTTTGCGTTTCCTGACTCACGTTTGCTGTTGCGATCTAAATACTTATCACTTTCATTCTTGACTTGCCTCCAGTTGTTTCTTGACTCGCCCTCCATTTCTTGACTCATGTTTCCTGACACGGTCATTTGTTTCCTGACTCGGTCTGGTCTCAAACGATGTTACCTACCACACAAAAAAAGGAAAGTGTAGAGGGTCATCTTCGTTGATTAGCCGGCGGCCATGCAGATCGCGTTCGGCTAGAAGAGGAAGTGTGAAGGAAACACATTCTGGAAAGAAACGAGATAGTTGGCCGGCGACTGTATCGATGACAAGCTGCCCACACTACACCTAAACATACCTAAACCAATATGGGGGTGTCTTTTGTGATGGTACCCCCTTTTTGGTGGTTTTGAAAGGATAACCAAAAGCAAAACACATTTTGTGGGGGGTCTCCTAAAGAAAGGTCAAACCTGTACTAAGCAGTGGGAAAACAACACTGAAGCTCCAAGCAAGAATGCTCGCTCCCAAGCAAAACACACCTATTTACAACAGCCTTGCTAAACGCTTTGCTACCGCATTGAAGGGGGATGTAGTCCGGCTGAACTGTACAAACGGATGGGCCTGTTTTGCCCAAGTCCCACCTTTGCCAATACCAAGGAAAGACAGAACCGATTCTAAATCCTAAGCCAACTCAAAGTGCTGCACGACGTCAAAAGCAATGCCACACAAACCCACAACCAGTAAGATACCACTTTGAATCAGCTCAGCACAAAGTTGCTGGGGATGGAGGAAACCTTCAGCCCTGTTATATTATCTCTCGTTGTCTCTCCAGAAGCTCTGCTTTGCCCATGTTCATTTGGTCCGACTGAACGTAAGTTCTTCCAGTGGGTTAGTTTGTGTTACTCTTCTCCCAGAATGCTCAGGCCTCCTGTGCCGGCTTCCACATCCGCCTTCCTGAGGTGCGCAGACAGGTTCACGATACGGGTCTCCACTTGGATGGCTAGGAAATCCGCTGGACCAGTACGCTTCTCGGGCAGTGTTGACCCATATTACTCGACCCCAGTTTATCAATAGGGGGGTTTCCCTGGGTTTAGTGGGGAATCATCACTTTTGGAGGGAAACACCCACTAATAAAATGGGGTTGATTAATATGGGGTCAACATTACGCTTTCTACGTGGCAACGCGTGGGCACTTAAAAAAAACCCAAGCGATCCTCCCTGGGGACATCACAGAAGCTTCACAGGCGTGCCCGCGCGAACGACACGTGGAAGAGGAAGGGCCTGCTCAGCATGGCAAAGAAGAGAAACACGACTGAGAGCCTAAAGCATATGCGGAAAAACTGCTGTAATTCCACATATTCGGAATCAGGAAGCCCCAAGGACTTTTAACATGGAGCTTGTCTATCCTCAGCTCAGCATTTGGGGCAGACATGACTGGCAAGTACTCGGACCTGTTGCGACCTCAAGATGAGAGGTCACCAAAGTCCCAAAACCCCAAAGTCCCGGCATTGGGCGCCAAATCTTCAAACCCCTCGAATCATCGCGCAGCCGATTTGGGTGTATCTGTTTTTAGGGGACCACATGGTGTTGCTCCTTTTGGTCTCCCTTAAACCGGGGACCCTCAAAGAAAGATACGCCACCTGGGCAGCTGCCTCCTGCGAAGGGCCCGAAGGGCTGTAAAGCGCGTGCCTGGGACACTTGTCACGAAGTGCACAGAGGCAAAAGGATCCAAGATGTCAAGAATCTAGGGGTTAATTCCTTTTCCATTCTTTTCAACCATCGCTCTTTTCACAAACCAGCTGTTTCCCCTAGCGTTCCGATGATTTCTGGAAAGAAGGATCCCTGGCCCTAGAAAGAAGTGATCTACTCACCTGAGAGCCCCGCTCAGGGCTATCGGCCTGCAGGAGAGGTAAAACACCAATATCAGGAAACATGAACGTGGATGTCCTCTTGGATTCCCTTTCAAGCTACAATAAGGGGTAGCCTCAGAAAAACAAACTGATCCATGTCACGCTAGGGATGATGCCTCAAAAGTAGCAACTCAGGAGGCAAGAGGTGTCTGAAAGGAAACGAGAACTAGCTTGCTACTTTCAGAGATTTCGGTACAGCCTGTACCAGCATGCTATTGTGCTTCTCTGTAATGCGCATCTTTTCGAGTACCCTTGCCTAAATTTGAATCTGCCCGGCTTCATATTTACCAAAGCCTAGCAGCGTGGCTCCTGGAACTGAGGAAATCGGTGTGTGGACCCGGCACATTGCCTAAATGAAGTGCTGTGCGGCAATGGACCCAAGACCTGAACATTAAAAAGCCAAGTGACCCCACAAGTCGGCTTCCCAATGACCTGAAGCGGTTCTTTCTGCGTGGTGTGTACTGTTGGCTTCTGGTGGCTGGGGTTCGTATTCACGAGTTTGGCACCAAGTGTCGGAAATTGGCGGTCCAGCTGGGAGAGAGGCTGCGCAGGAGTTTTCTTTGCAGCGGGCTGGCCGGCCGCTCGGTGGATTCTGCTTTGAAAGGGAGGCGCCTGCAACATCCCCGTCGGCAAAGAGAGCTTCTGTTTGCATGGTACCGGAGCCTCAATTGAAACCCCTGGATGGCCTGGTCCCTGCCAATCCCTGCGAACAGCGGTTCGCCAGGTAGCGGTCGCAATGTTCTGTGGTTTCCTTTTACAAACACCTGGGTCTTGTTGGAGGCATAGCCATTGCCGAGCTTGGGCCTTCGCTCAGGTTGCCACTACTCAACCGCAGCATGTCTGTTTCCCCCGCTTCCGCGCCTGGGTGGTGGGTGAAAGCGCGAAGACCCTGGCGCATGGTGCAGCCTTGCCCGTCAAAGTTCTCAGAATGCCCTGCCTCCTAGGGAGCAGCTGCGACCTAGGCTGCATGCTTCTGCTTGCCCATCCCACTCGCACTTCAAAACTCGCTACGTAGCTCATTCGTCTTCTCATAAATCCTCTGGGTGTAATCTGCTCCGCCGCTTCACTTCGCCCTTCGAGCGGCGTTTGGCACCCCATGGGCTCGTAGCGTGTGGGCGTGGC